ACTGAGAGAAGCCTTCGAAATACTACGTTAGCAGGAAAAAAAAAAAAAAAGAAAAAAAAATCAGATCCCTACCGCGTTCCATTTAACATCACACACTTCTAGCGAATTAGAAGATCATTATCAGCCGTAATTCTGATTTAGTTAGGTACGGTCTAGAGCCTCTTCTCCCCCCACCACGTGAAGCGTCAGACTCGAACCGCTCTCTGATTATTACTTTGGGGCTACAGGGAGCTCTGGGGGCATAATTAAAAATATTTCCAGAAAGACTCGGTGGACCACATCTGACGTCGCAGGCCCTGTTAGAACCAGACCACATCAAAGGGACCCTTTTTGTTTTCAGAAATGGTCACCAGACAAACTTAAAATATACAAGAGTTGGGCTTATGTTTTATTGTAGAGATGTCTGAGCGGAGCGAAGCGATTTTGGGAGCGCTGCTCCGGGTGGGACGGGGTAGTTAGGGCCCTTTGATATTTCCGTGGGGGTCGGGTGGGTTTCGTTTGAAAAGGGGACCATTAATGATGGACCTGTGAGTGTTCCCCTCCCTAACAAGCGGAATCCACATCGCTCGGGAAGCCCGAGATGCCCAGGGCGGAAAGATTTGCGGCTGATGGCGCTAATTATGAAAATGTGATCAAGATGGAAACAATTTGAGCAAAAGTCATTAGCGTGTTACTCTTCCACCCACCGGTCTTTGGGGTTTATTGCTGCGGCGGGGGGCGGCAGGAGGATCTTGCGGGACTGGCGTGGGGGTGCTTGCAGAGCGCTAATGAAAATGCCCTGCGAATCCCGAACCGGAAAACGTCAGATGCGCATCCACGGGGCGATGCACCAGTCTCGGGACAGAGCCTGGGTTTGCTCTTAGGAGATCGCTGTAATTACTGGCAGTAATTGCGCTTTATCTTCCCTTCAAGCGGTGCCGGTGAAAGCACCTTTCAGGAGACTCGTGGCACGCCAAGAGTTATTTTTCTGTTGCCACAGTTGTCTCGTAGCCCATCAGAGGTTACTCGTACCCAGGAGACGATTTACGGAGCATCCCCGAGAGGAAGGTTTTCCACAGAGGTTCTTCCTTTGGGAGAGACTAAAGGATTTGGCCCGCAAGCAACACCCCTCACCCTCCAAAAACTGGGGTCCTGCACGTTTAAGATTTTAATTTCTTTACTTGCATACACTGCTTTTATAGCTTCCAATGGATACACCGGGACCACACGGCAGTGGCATTGTAGGAGAACAGCAATAAAGAATTAATTGTACAAACATTTATCATCCCCAGATCAAACTCTCCTCGTGAGGCTGGGGCTTAACTTGCGGAGAAGAAAAGGGGGAGGAAGGGTGGTAATGGCGGAGAGGGTGCTTGTGGGGATTTTTTTTTGTGTGTTTCCTTTTATTCCAGACGACTGTATAATGAAAATCCTTTTAGCCTTGAAGAACCACTAAATATTAAGCACAGCTTAAAACAGGGAGTAGCTTTCGAGACGGTTTCATCCTCCTACCATTCCTTTTAGGAAAAGGTCGTACCCCTTCCCTTATTTTCCCGCTAGTAAAAGCTTCCCTTCTAAAAGTAGTCTTTAACGTGTAAGAAAATCCCCCTGCTCTACATAGGAAGGTATTTAAAAAAATTTATAGACCTCTTCATGTTCGCCAGTTCCGGGAAAAAAAAAAATTATATTGATCAAGGTCAAACGCTCGAATTGTGACGTGACTCACTTCAAAGGTGTATTTGTGTGCCCTTCGAGCACATTAATACTAATTATCTCTCAAACACTTCCCCAAAACTCCTACTGCCTGTTTCAGATGCAAATCTAATTAACGAGCTGCCTTTGAGGAGCACGCAGGGACAGCGTAATTCACGGAGCTGTTGAACCTTTTGCCTTCTTTTATATTTATTTATAGGTAGCTCCATCCTCTTTTGAAAGCGTAGGCAGTGGTGTGAAGCGACAGGGTAGCGAGGGCAGCTCCGCGCCAGCTAATGAGACTTTCCTGGAGTCAAGGAAAAGGATTAGCCACGACTTCTTGCAAATGCGCTAGGGGATGTACATCAGAACACTCGCCTTACTTTGCCTAAGTTAATTTGGGAATGATTAAATCGTGAAACTCTATCTAAACAACGCCTAATAGTCCCTAAGAGCGAGCTGAATGATTTGGGAATGGCTGTTTGTGCTGCTCACCGGGGGCAGAGCAGGGCACCCGCACACGCACGGCGAATCCCGACTGCAAGCCCGGGGGTTCTCTGCCCCCAGCGCCTTCCGGAGAGCCGGGACCCGCACCCCCTCCTCACTCCTCTGCCTTTAACACTCCCCAAAGCCTCCTCCCGAGGATGGAGCATCATCATCCCCGTCCATCCCCATGCTTGGCTCGGCGGAGGGTCCGCGGGGCGGGCGGCCCCCGTGCGGGGGTGTGCGGTGTGAGAGAGAGGGAGAGAGGGAGATGCTGTGTAATTTTATCCACGCTGCACTCTGGGAGTTCACACGAGACTGATACCTTTTGCCTCCTCTCTGCTCCGTATCAATTGGTCGCAGATCGGGCTATTGTTGCAGGAAGCTCCTTTTATTTCTATGCTCCGTCGATCAACTATTTTCCCCGCAGTCTCCTGCCGAAATTCAGCGGCTCCCTCCTTCTCTCCCTCCCTCCCTCTCTCTCTCCCTCCTTGCCTCTCTGTCTCATGCATGCCGTCTGTCTATCTGAGAATCCAAGGAGAAGGCTGATCACGGCAGCTGCGTGTAACACAAACAGCTGGGACTCTTCGGTGCCCTTTGCCGATGTCTATTGATTTAAGTAAATCTGAGACAGATAAAAGGGCCCGGATCGAGGCTGATAAAACCCCGCCGATGCTGCGCGGCTCGCAGCAGCGTGCGCTCGGCATCTCCGGAGCGCTGCAGGCAAGACGCCTTTAATGGGAGCCCTGGTGCCTCTCGCTGCGAGCCTCGCTCTCCCCGGCAGACCCAGCGCCGCGGCCACCATGCCACGATGGTTATA